ACCAGGTACTTTACCAGGTACTTACATTACCAGATACTTTACCAGGTACTTTACTTTACTAGGTACTTTACTTTACCAGGTACTTTATTTTACCAGGTACTTTACCGAGTACTTTACCAGGTACTTTACCAGGAACTTTACCAGGTACTTTACTTTACCAGGTACTTTAACAGGTACTTCACTTTACTAGGTACTTTACTTTACCAAGTACTTTACTTTATCAGGTACTTTACTTTATCAGGTACTCTACCAGGTACTTTACTTTACCAGGTACTTTACTAGGTATTTTACTTTACCCGGTATTTTACTTTACCAGGTACTTTACCAGGTACTTTACTTGGTACTTTACTTACCAATTACTTTACTTTACCAGGTACTTTACTAGGTACTTTACTTTACCAGGTACTTTCACAGTTTGACTTCTATTGACCGTATTTGTCTGTCTCTTCGCACCTTGTCTCTGCAACAAAGATGGCGTTAAACCTGCATTGCGTTATTTACAGCAGGGATCCGATACTCGGTTCATCAGGCCAAACAGTTCTGGGTAAATCTGAAGGAGCCGATGAGTCACACTTTCAAGTTATCGAGATCATTGTTGTTGCACTGTGTGGATGACGCATGTCACGTAGAGATTTCAAAGGAATTGAAATCAACCTGGGTATTGTTTTGAGGTGTAGTGTGCTGCACTGGTAAGCCCACCACCAGAGGGTGCTGGGTTTCATACCAGGTTGGGCTGTGTTGGGATGGGAATTCAGTTTGAAAACAAATTGCTGTAAATCTTTCAAAATGTAAATTAAAAAATCTGATCAAATTAGCAGATTAATCACCAATCCCCAAGGCAGAGTAAATAATACAAGCTCTATTTAGCCACCAGGGGGATCAGGTATCTTTTGATATGCAACAGCCTTTGATGGTTCTTTAGGTTTTTGTTGTTGGTCTGATTTGGTAACGACGGAGGAAAACGTTTCGGTCCATTAGTCTGTTCCCGACTCGGAAAATGACTCTTTCATAAATGACTGAGAGACACAACAGATGAGCAGGAGGGAGAGAAGAAAAGGGGAATGTGAGGGTGGGAAGTGAAGGAGGTCAAGAGGAGGCGACATCCATCAGTTCTCTGTCCTAAATCCATCTGTGTGTCTCCATGCTCAGCCTATTTCATCACACAGACACACACACACACACATATTATATATGAAACTCTCAGAAATTGGTTTTGTCGTGACCTTTAACCCTTTTAACCTACAATATTGGGGTGTTTGCCCGCATGTGCGTGTGAGAGATGGTGACACCAAGCCATAAAATGATTGCCCTAAAATTAGATTTCAATTGCTTGTTATAAACAAATATATATATATAAACACACACACCAACACACACATATATAAATATATATCTAAATATACACATATATGTAAATATATATGCATATATGTGTGTATATTTACAGTAACACATATATACACCAACACATATATAAATACATAGATAAATATACGCACATATATACAGATATATATGTATGTATATGTACATATATGTATACATTTGCATATTTTTGTAACATATACAGTACATTCTCTGAAAATTCTCTGAGAACCGTCACCGCCGTCACCACCGTCACATCCCGTCACTTTGAGGTCAAAGTTTCCGGCATCCATGACAGTCAGACCTCGACGGGAAATATGACGGCAATGACTTTTTCAGGTTCCAGCTGCTGCAGAGTCTCACGTGACATTTGTGACAGTTAGGCTGAATTTGCATGTCCCCTCAGAGCAGCTCTGTAATTTCCATTTGACTTTGTCGTTAGATTTAAAGACTTAGAGACCGTTGACAAATGTGTGATCTGAGTAAAGGAATAATATTCAAACTGAAGCTGGGAGAAAAGAACACGTTTCACTGCATTAGAAAGACAGGGAATTAGTATTACTGTATTATGTGATTGATGGTGTGTCATACTGTACCAGATGAAGAAGTCCTGGAAAGTACTTACTATAAATATATTTACTACAGATCACAGTTTTTTTTACATTGGTTTAAATGGGAGGAATTTTAAAAAAACAAATTAATAGTTTCTTTTCCTCTGCCTCGCTGTCACTTTTGGAAACAGCAGCAGCTGTGACAGTGATAACGCCTCTCAGTTGTACAAGAAAAAGATCCAAAGAGTTCTCGGTACCAAATGATGGGATGTGACAGAGGCAGCAGCCGTGGAGAGGCTCAGGATGACTTGCAGTCTGCAAAGTTGTCAGGGCACAAAGAGCAGTAGTTACCCCACTTACCAAAAGTGATGATTTCTGTATGAACATCATTAAATTATTGTACAGTCGGGAAGAACTTATGTGCACATGCAGTTCTCCAATTCACATCCAGGGGGGCGCTGATTGGTGGACATTTAAGGACTATTTTTTTCCCATCAATTTACCGCCTTAAATCTGACATTTTTTTTAACTTTTTCTTTCCTCCAGGGTAGAGAGTCCTTCATACGAAGTGATGCAGTTGGAGTTCGAGGTAGACAACCTGATTAACCTGGTACAGATTCAGACGCTGCACTGGAACGTGGAGTACGCGGGAGAGACACAGGAGAACGGCAGGCGGACGGAGAAAGTGTCTCACCTCTACATCAGCAACGCTGACATACAGGGCATCGTGCCGCTGGCCGAGGTAAGACGAGACGTGATGGATGAGCGCACGTCTAAATGTCTGACACGATGAAATGTGCACCGCTGGGTCTCAGCGTACAGCCCGGCCCCTTCCTCCAGGGTGATCAAACCGTAAAGGTCAGCTTGTTTACCCCCACCTGTTGCTACAAGCCTGGTGGCTACACACACTCAGCAGGGTTCACACTCTCAGGTTCAAAAAAGAGCCTCACGGTAGAGATGGAAATCTTCTAATCCTCAGTCTTTAGCTGTATGGATTTTCTGTTCTAAAATGGTGAGTGTTTGGACTCTTATAAATGATGTCTCACCCCAGTGAGAGTGAAAAGAACCGATGCCTCACGAAAGATTGTTTACCTCACAAACCAGGTGATTTGTTTTATCTTCGGTTTGAATAACGGCTTGGAATTTATTCACTTTTTTTTTATGCTCGCACAGCACTCCACTAGAGGGCAGTATCTCAGCTGAAGTTAGTTAGCCTGAAAAATGACATTTACCCCCCAAAAAAAACTTGCAACAACAAGTTCTTCAATGGTATCACCTTGGAGCATGGACGCCATCGCTAACATTAGCTACTGCGATGTAATCAGCCCGAGATTCAGAGGAAAAAAGATTATCGTCAAAACAAATAAATAAAAAAAATTAAAAAAGCTAGAACTTTTATTTGCACCTTTTCCAGTTCCCTATTTTCTGGCACATGATGCCCTCACTCCAGCCCCCTAGGTGGAAGTAGTGGGCATTATTAAATCATCCAGGCACAGATAAGTTCCGTAGGATAAATTAAATGACGTTAGCACACAATGGAGTTTGGTGAACTGATTTTCCGACGTAGCCTTTTATCTTACATTTGCGCTACAATTTGAAGTCCGTTTTCAAAAACAATACATTTGAAGAATACATTTTTGAAATGACAACTTTACAGAAACTTGCAGAGCAAAGAAGTTGTCGTGAATTTGAAAACGGTACCAAATTGAATTGGATTTATATGTTAGTGCACGGCCGACTCGTATTTCTCCAGTGTCCCATGACAAAGTGAAGTCATGAAGATCAGGCGGTTCTACAGAATACAGAGCCTAACTGACACATTAGACACGAACAAATGGAACCGCGACCAAGACCCTCAGTCTGGACCCGACGATGACGAGGAGGAGGATGATGGTTTTCAAAATGCTCCATGTTCCATTACCACTGGGCTAGAGCTAATCTGGCCTGATGGGTCTCTTTTCAAACAGCAAAGCCCTGGTGAGAAAACCCAATTTTATCCAGGGCTCCCACCAGCCCCCGCCCCAGCTGCCTCCCACCACCCTCCCCTCCACTGTCATTTCACAGAGCACTGCTGCGTTTTTGTGCAGCTGCTGTTTCACACCTGTCTTCTTCTCATTGATTCTTCCTGATCAATCGTCGATTCACTCATTCATCGTCAGAAGATTCCGTACCGAGCACCGATGCTGAACGTCAGAATATATACAATAAATAAATGAACCAAATGACCAAGCAGTGTGGGATTCAAACCGACAGTCTTAGGAACACGGCCTCCGATGCTTTGGCAAGTGGTTATTGTTGGTCCGTTGATTGACTATACTACACTATATATTAATATACTATATTTCATTATATGTAATACTCTAATACAGGGATTCCCAAAGTGTGATGTGTGTGAGTTGCCCCTAGGGGGAGCACGAGATAAAATTTGTGATCGCAGTAACGTGTTTTTAAAGTAAAGTTGGATTTTTTTAACACAATAAAGACGTGGAAATAAACATTTCCTTAGTAAACATTTAACATCAAAAGCTGACATTTTAATAAATACATAAATGCAAGTCATATATGTGTATATATATGTGTGTGTGTGTATATATATATGTGTGTATCTATATATATATATATGTAT